GATTGAACTCAGGCTCTTGTGCTTGCCAGGGAAGCACTTATTCCACTGAGCCATCTCCCCGGCCCTTGTTTTTGAGACAGGTTCTCACTATTATCCCAGGCCTGGAACTCATGGCTATCCTCCTACCTCAGCCTCCTAAATTCTGGGATTATAGGCATGTGCCACCATGCCCTGTCATGCTCACTACTTTTTTTTTTTTTTCTTTTTTGGTATCAGGATTCAAACTCAGCCTTGTGCTTGTCAGGCAAGTATTGTGCCACTGAGCTACATCCCCGGCCCTCTACTACTTTTAGAGATGTCATTTTATTATAGATAGGTAAGTTATTCAGAAATGCTGTAGGCAGTTAAGACAGGGCTAAGCCCTCAGAAGTTCAGAGCAGAAGACAGCTGTGGCTGGAGGCACAGTCACTGAAGGCCTGCTTTGAGTAAGGGAGGAGCCGCTCAACCATATATTCCCCTAGGGATGAAGGGTGATTGATATTCTTGATTGGCATCAATCACCTTGGGGCGCACGGCGGGGGGGCTCTTTCCCCCCACCCCTTTCAGGAAAGGTCTTGTCCACACCATGTGTGCTTTTGACATGATTTGCTTCTCCCAGTTTGATCCTTATTTATTTTTATGGAACCAAACCAAGGATTGAACTCAGGCCCTTGTGCTTGCCAGGAAGCGCTTATTCCACTGAGCCATCTCCCTGTCCTCTGATCCTTATTTAATCCAAGTGATTCTCCTTGAGGCTTTGCTCCATAAATACCCTTGAGAAACGGGGTTGGCGAGCAGCCCACTTTCCAGGCCCCTCTTCTGTCTCTTAGAAGTTTTTGTTTCTCTCAAATTCCTTTTACTCTTAGCCTCTGTTGTTCCTAGAATTCATTCCTTGATTTTAGAGAACACAAACTTGGCGACGGAACATCTATCAGGTTGGGAGTTAGATTTTCCTTATATGGTCTGGAGGTTCTGTATCGCGAGCCCTACACCAATTTCTCCAAAGTGAAGGGGAGGAAATGGGCTCTGGGTGACAAGTCCTAGTGCCAGGTGTGGTGATGCACGCCTGTAATCCCAACACTCGGGAAACTGAGGCAGGAGGATCGTTGCAAGTTTGAAGCTAGCCTGGGCCATACAAAGTGAGTTCAAGGGCTGGTGAGATGGCTCAGTGGTCTAGAGCACCTACTTAGAACAAGCTAAGCTAAGCAAAGCAAAGCACAGGGACCGCGGTTCAATCCCCCAGCACCACATGCCAGCCAGCCCCGCCCCCTGGTGGGCTGAGCTGGCCACACACACACACACACACACACACAATAAATAAATAAATAATTTTTAAAAAAAAAGTGAGTTCAAACCCAGACTGAACTGCATAAGAAGACAATAGGGGAGATAGCTCAGTGGCATAAGCACCTCCCTGGCAAGTGCAAGGTCCTGAGTTCAATCCCTGGTACACACACACACACACACACACACACACACACACAAAACAACCCCAAAGCTCTGGGGAGATAGCTTGGAGGTCTAAGTACTTGCCTGGCAAGCGCAAGGACCGTGTATCAATCCCCAGTACCACATGCTGTGCTGGCCCCGGAACCCTGGGTGGAACCCTGCCAGCCACCAAAAATGAGAAAAATCGGGGGATGTAGCTTAGTGTGATGTGTGTGTGGGGGGGAGGGATCAAGACATTCCAGATCCAGCTAAGCCTGAGGGGAGCCCCCCAGGCTCCCAACTTCGTGGTTGCAGGTCTTGTACCCCCTTTCCTAGAAATTACCTGCACCAGGGAGGTGCTGGCACTGTGATCCCCTCACCTGCGCACCGGGGCTGGTGACAGATCTGGCGCCCCATCGCCGCCCCATCCTCTCGCGCGTGATGTGAGGACACCCTGGGACGCCCCTGCTGTGAGGCCTGAGTGCGAGGCCTGCGTCTCCAGACAAGGCTCGGTGGGTGTGGGACTCACCAGACCTCACTCTCAGGGACATCAGTACTGCGCGTGGGGCCCTTGGCAGCTCTTACATCCCTGCCTCAGTTTTCTCCCCCCAAAAACGTAACGATCTCTGGGGCTCCTGGGGCCAGTTTTCTAAGGTCAGAGGATGGAGCACACCCTTCCAAGACGGTCCCACGAGCCACGGCCCATCTTCTGGGGCTCCCTAGCGGCCACCCAGAGAGCAACATCTTTAGCACCCTGGCTGCAGAGCGCGCCCTCTGGTGGACATCAGCGGAAGTGTTTCCTAGGCTTTGTCACTTCACCCACACTGCTTCGCCCATGCTTGGTTGAGCACTCACACTACTACTCCAAGCCTGGACCACAGGACACACAGCGCTGGGCAGGAAGGAGAGGGCCCCTGTATTTAAACCCCAGCTTGATTTCTGGGTGTGCTTGGGTCAGTTACTCAACATCTCTGAGCCTCAGTTTCCTGTCTGTCAAACTGAGTCAATACAGGCCCAGTATCTTCCCCATGGAGTTGTGCAGCTGACAGAGACCCTGTAATGCTGGCTCTCCACTCCTTTTGCTTCGTTTTTTTTTTTTTTTTTTTGAGACAGTGTCTTTCTGTGTGGCTCAGGGTGGTCTTGAGTTCACTCCGTAGCTCAGGCTGGCCTCAAACTCACAGTGATCCTCCTGCCTCAGCCTCCCAAGTGCTGGGATTACAGGTGCCTGCTGCCATGCCTGGCTGTTGTGATTCTTTTTTATTTTAGGGAAGGGTCTACATGATGTTCAGGGTCTTATTACTAGATCGGACTCAATGATCCACCTGTTTACAGCCTCCCAAGAGCTAGGATTACAGGCATGTTCCACCATGCCCAGTCTCAATTGCTGTCTCACTGTGTCCCGGGGGCGGGGCCAGCACGGCAGCGCCGGACCTGCTTGCAGATGCTTTAATCTGCTGAGCTATTTGGCCGGCCCTGTTGTGATTTTTTTTGTTCATTATCTTCGTCATTTCTATTCAGAGAATAGGCCACCACTTGCTGTGCCTGCCAATGAAGATGCTCAATAAATTAAGAAATATCGGCCTTTTTACCAAGATGGCGCCGAAAGCAAAGAAGGAAGCCCCTGCCCCTCCCAAAGCTGAAGCCAAAGCAAAAGCTTTGAAGGCCAAAAAGGCCGTGCTGAAAGGCATCCACAGCCACAAAAAGAAGAAGATACGAACGTCGCCCACCTTCCGCCGTCCCAAGACGCTCCGGCTCCGGAGGCAGCCCAAATACCCTCGGAAGAGCGCCCCCAGGAGAAACAAGCTTGACCACTATGCCATCATCAAGTTCCCCCTGACCACAGAGTCCGCCATGAAGAAGATTGAGGACAACAACACACTCGTGTTCATTGTGGATGTCAAAGCCAATAAGCACCAAATCAAACAGGCTGTAAAGAAGCTTTATGACATTGATGTTGCCAAGGTCAATACCCTAATCAGGCCTGATGGAGAGAAGACATATGTTCGACTGGCTCCTGATTATGATGCATTGGATGTTGCCAACAAAATTGGGATCATCTAAACTGAGTCCAGCTGGCTAATTCTAAATATATACTTTTTTCTCAGAAAAAAAAAAAAATAATAAAAAAAAATAAAAAAAATAAATTAAGAAATATCTTCTTTCCTGGGGCTGAGTGCTCCTGAGACGCCCTGGGAAGGGTCTGAAGCATCAGAGCAGCTGCGGCTCCCTGATCCCTGAGGGGCTGCAGCCAGGGCTGGACAGAGCAAGCGCCAGCCCTGCAGAGCTGCCGGCTGTGGTCTGGTGCAGCGCTCTGCCTCCTTGCCCTGTCTCTGTGTCGCAGCAGAAGCCCTGGGAAGGCAGAGGCACACTGTGTAGATGACAGAGTCCTCTGAGCCCCTCGCTGAGCATCTTTGGTTAAGTTGCTGTCCATCTCTGAGCCTCAGACTCCTCATCCATAAGCAGGAGGCTTCAAGGATTACACAGGGAGACTCTGGAAACATCTTTGGCACAGAAGGTGTTCAAATGAACGATGGGTGGAGAGGAAAGAAGTCTACAAAGGATCAGGTAAGAGAAGCCGGTTTCTAGCCGGGTATGGACTATAGAACAGGACCTTCTCTCAAGGAAGGAAAAAAAAAAAAAGAGAGAGAGAGAGAGAGAGACAGAGGCAGGTTTTTTTACTTATCCAGCCCAGGAGCAGAGCCTTCATTTTTAGCTGCTGTCATCTGGGTGGGTACTGGAGCTGGCACTAGAGGAGGCAGCCCAGCTACAGAAGGCAGCTCCCAGCTAGGGCTATAGCTCAGTGGCACTACGCCTGCCTGGTAAGCAGAGGACCCTGAGTTCGATTCCAGATTCCCAAACCATCAGAAGACAGCTCTCTGGACATCTTCAGTGGGCATCACTGCAGCCAGGGAGATGCCTCTACTCAGGGAAGGTGCCAAGGTGGTCGCTGGGGAGCTTAAGTGGCTGGATAGAGGGACAGCTGCCTGGGACCCTGTGCACTGGGCCCTAGTGGCTAGAAAGCGGCGCCTGGGACCACACAGCTGCAGTGGGCACAGTGTGCAAATCCAGGCTGTGTGCCTTGTTTTTGGAGAAGCCAAGGAGTTGACATAAGAGTCAAATAAGGACCAGTCTCTTTTGGCCGTTCACAAGTAAGTCCATATCGAGCATCTACTCGTGCCAGGCCCGGTCCTAGGTGATGGGCCTGAGAGCCTCGTTCTCACTGAAGCCAATCTGGGGGAGCGGGAGGCTCTGGGACTCACTCAGAAGAGAGCCAAAACTGTACCCATAGAAAGCAAGAGACGACACAAACTGAGCGGCCCCTTTAAAAGGCGGAGCCTAGAGGGCGGAACTATGGGGCAATGGTGAGAAAGTGTTGCCCGGAAGGCTGTCGATGCTACACCCGGAAGTCTCTTAGGCAGTAGGGAGATCTGCACTGCCGGAAGCCTCACTACTATGGGCCGAAACAAGAAGAAAAAACGTGATGGTGACGACCGGCGGCCCCGGCTCGTCCTCAGCTTTGATGAAGAGAAGCGGCGGTAAGTGGCAAGGCCGGGCAAGAACCCCCGTCGGGCTGCCCAGCAAAGCGAAGGCCAGACCCGGATCGCGCGCGCTCGCACCGAGGTCTCTTCCGGCCCCGCCCCCGGGCAGGATCTCCCAGACGCCTCTGCGGGGGCTGGGAGCCTCGCGGGCTTGGGGTCACGCGTCCGGCCCGGCGCCCCCAGCGCGCTGTGATCCATGGCTTGGGCCACCCCAGCGCAGCCTGGTGATCTGCCCTACAGACAGCAGCTCTTAGCCGCTCACGATTGCGGCTGACGTTCATTCATTCAGTCGGGCTCCCGCGGTGTTGCAGGCTCTGGGCCTGAAAGCCGAACCGCTGAGCCTCCGCAACGGCGGGTGGCAGCAGCAGGGGCATGGGGGAAAGCCCAGTGCTGGCCGCCAGAACCAAATGGAAAGAGCAGGCGGCACAGGTCCGATGATGGAGAGAGCTAAATTCCTAGGCATCACCGGGAAATCCCGGGGGGACACTAATGGACCCCACAGCTGGGTTCGCGGCAGGTGACCCAGGGAAATGGCTGTTGGTCTCACGACGGATTTTGGAGGCGGATTTTTGAGTGAAAGGCGTTCTTCAGAGTCCTGCCAAAAATGGGAGAGTAATGAATGCCAGAGTAATGAAATGGGACAGTCTAAAAGGAGTCAGCACCAGCTCCATGTGTCCTCCACTTGGCCTAGTTTGAAGTGAGAGTGTGCCGCGGAAAGCGCATCGCCTGGGGCTGGAGAGATGGCTTAGTGGTCTAAAGCACCTACTTGGAACAAGCTTGATAAAGCACAGGGACCGCGGTTCGATCCCCCAGCACCACATGCCAGCCAGCTGCACCCCCTGGTGGGCTGAGCTGGCCACACACACACACACACACACACACACACACACACACACACACACAAAATAAATTAAAAAAAAAAAAGAAAGCTCATCTCCCTCCGTCCCTTTTCTACACTTACACTGTCCTGTCACCTGTAATAGGCCTGTCTCGATAAGCCGCATCGTGGCAGACCCATCTAGGTTAGCGTGCTTGCTGCCTGAGCCTGAACTGTCTCCTGGCAACGTGTTTCTCAGCACGTATCCTTGTCCTTAAGTATCCATGAGAGCTGGGTGTGGTGGCACAAGCCTGTAACCCCAGCACTGGGGAGGCAGAGGAAAGATGACTTCAAGTTCAAGGCCAGCCTGGGCTGCAGAGTGAAACCCTGTACCAAATAAATAAAAGATTTTTTAAAAAATAGATAAAATATGTGTGGTCTTGGGCAAGTAACACAGACTGCAAAATAGGGACTGATACCTGCTTGTCATGAGAGTTCTGGGAGTTAATGCAGAGAGATGTCCCCGGGCGTAGAGTGGCACTGGGTCTTTTCTCTCTTATAGAGTCCCCTCTTTCCTGTGTCTCCTCCCAGCTCTCCCTCTTTCTTCTCATAGGGAGTACTTGACTGGCTTCCATAAGCGAAAGGTGGAGCGGAAAAAGGCAGCCATCGAGGAGATTAAGCAGCGGCTGAAGGAGGAGCAGAAGAAGCTCCGGGAGGAGGTCTGGGGGGCAGTCCTGGGGAGCAGGGCCCCTGGCCTAGCCAAGGCGAGGGTGTGTGCTCATTCACTGGAGCGGAGCAGCGCCCCTGTCTGCCTGACTGGGTTCAGATGGCAGACACAATGTGTCCCCTTCCTGTTTGTCTCCAGCGCCACCAGGAATACTTGAAGATGCTGGCAGAGAGAGAGGAGGCGCTGGGTGAGTCCTTTCCTTGGCCTGACCTGGTTTTGGTGCATCTTGTGGCTGGGAGGGGAGCTGCACAAGGGACTTCCTTCGGTGCTGTCGAGGTCTTGGTGGTGACCAGGAACACCTCTGAGTACAAGGATCACAGAGCAAAAGGAACCCAGACTCCATGGTCATCTGGGCCTGAATACAGACCTCGGTTTCTTTCTTTCTTTTTTGGCAGAACTAGGGATTGAACTCAGATCCTTGAGTTTGCCAGTCAAGCGCTTATCCTACTGAGGCATCTCCCCAGCCCCTAAACCTCGGTTTCTTTTTCTTTTTCTTCTTTTTCTTTTTTTTTCCTTTCAGTATTGGGGTTGAACCGGGAACCTTCACATTGGCCTACATCCCTCACCCATCTATATGTATTTTTATTTTGAGACAGAGCCTTGCTGAATTGCTCAGGCTATCTTCAGATTTGTAATCCTTTCCTAGCCTCCCAGTGTGGAGATTTTCAACAGAGGTTCACAGCAAAATATATTTATTAGGGGAAAGAAAACTTCTGTCTGAGAGAGGGACAGAAGGGGACCCGAGTTGGTTGCCCCCAGTGTGGAGGTTATAGGTGTGCTCCACAACACTCAGTTGTGGCTGGTTTTTATTTATTTTGTGATTGTGGGAATTGAACCTGAGACCTACATATTGAGCTATGTTCCCAGCCCTTTTTGTTACTATTTTTAGAATTTTGAAACAGTTTCACTAAATTGCCTTTTTTTTCTTTCTCTTTTTTTTTTTTTTTTTTGAGGCAGGGTCACCCTATACAGTTCAGGCTGGCCTTGAGCTCACAGTGGTTCAGGCTGGTCTCAAATTTGCAACATCCTCCTGCCTCAGCCTCCTGAGTGCTGGAACTACAGGCGTGCACTAATTGCCAAATATTTCAAGTTGGTCTCAAACTAGAAATCCTCCTGCCTCAGCCTTCCAAGTAGCTAGTTGGAATTACAGCTGGGCACCACTATGGCCCCCTAGAGAGCTGTTTCTGAGGACTGAAAGGACTAAGGGTAGAAGTCAGGGAGGCATCAGCTCCTGCTATTACTTGGAGTTTGCCCTCCAAGGCTGGGAGGAGACTGGAGCCTCGTTGCTTGTTTTGGGACTGAGAATTGGTCTCTGCCCTCTCTATAGAGGAAGCAGATGAGCTGGACCGGCTGGTGACAGCCAAGACTGAGTCAGTACAGTACGACCACCCCAACCACACCGTCACTGTGACCACCATCAGTGACCTGGACCTCTCGGGGGCCCGGCTGCTTGGATTGCCACAGCCTGAGGTAGGTCCCAGTTCTGTCCCTGGGAAAGAAAAGGACAGACCTCTCGGGCTGCTCCATGCTGGCCTTATCATCGTGAGGATGGCAGAGCAAGGGACTTGCTCCCTTCCAGCCCCTTCATTCCCTGACCTTGGTGCTGCTGAGCCTGGATCCCTGCCGAGCATGTCTGTGAAACTTCCGGGCCCTGCTGCTTCCCTGTCTCCTGCACTGAGGTGGGGGGTGGGGCTGCTGGTGGCTTCTCCCTCGTGGCATTGTTGTGGGGATAAAGTGGCAGATCATGTGGCACCAGGCCCAGCACGTAGTAAACAAAAGATTGCTATTGGGGCTGGGGAGATGGCTCAGTGGAATAAGAGCTTTCCTGGCAAGCACAAGGCCCTGAGTTCGATCCCTGGTTCCGCCAAAAAAAAAAAAAAAGGATTGCTATTGATAGTGGTGGTTCTGTTGTGTGCTTCACAGCAATACCTTGGCACTCTGCACCGGCAGTGAGTTCACAGCGTGTGGGGCGTCAGTCATCAGTAGCCTGCAGTTGCATTGAAAGTAGGAAAAAACTAGAATTGAAAGCATGAGAAGGCATCATGGCCAATATGGTTTCATGAAACACTTGTGTGCATGTGTGTGGGGTTCCGAGAGCGCCTGGTGCAGGGCCAGAGTGCTGTAACACTGAGCCGCGTCCCCAGCGCCGTTCCTGTTTTTCTGTTGAGGCAGGGTCTCACTAGGTTGATGGGTTGATAAGTTGCCCAGGCTGGGCTGGAACTTGCAGTCCTCCTGTTTGGCTCCCCAGTGCTGGGATGACAGGCGTGTCCACAACTTCAGCTTCGTCACACATTTCTTGGCTCTGTCGGATGTGTGTGTGTTATAAATGTGTACGTCTGCTCCTCGATACCTGTGTAGGGTTGATTCCAGGACCCCGAGATAAGGAAATCTGTGGCTGCTGATGGCCCCCACATAAAACGGTGTGGGATTTGAATCGAACCTAAGCGCGGCCTCCCATCTACTTGAAATCAGGTCTGGGTTACTCAGTGACACCAGAGCAATGTAAATGGTGCATAATTATGGTTGGTTGGTTGGTTGGTTGGTTGGTTGGTTTTGAGACAGTCTCACTGTGTAGTCCTGGCTGGCCTTGAAGTTGTGGCAGTGTTCTGCCTCAGCCTCCCGGTTGCTGGGAGTAGAGGTGTGCGGCATCACTGTAAGTGATCGTTGCCCTGTGTGGTTAGGGAGCTCGGACACAGGCTGCACAGGCGGTGCAGACAGGATGGCATTTTCCTGAGCTTTTTGCCAGGGGTGGTTGAGTCTGACTGCCAGATGCGGAGGGCCACATGTGCACAGTTAATGGTGTAAAGGGAGTTTCTTCCCCTTGTTGCAAGGTCCTTACATCGGGCAGCCACTGCTTTCTGAGTCCTTCCCCCTCGAGTCTCGCACTCAGCAGTTCATGTCATGCTCTCCTTCTGCAAAGCCACTTCTGTTGTGCTCGGCTTTCTGCCTGCTATGAGCTAGTAAGAGACAGGGGAATGGCTAGAGGCAGCGCTGTCCGCTCTGACACTGGCTCGGGGCTGGACACTGATTCTTGTGCCCACTGACTCTGTGGCCTCAGCCCAGGCCCCATCTGCCCTCTGTGACTGTTCTTGGCCTGTGCTTCCCTAGCAAGGGGCTGAGGACCAGTCCAAGGAGGAGGAGGCGTCCATGGAGAAGCCAGCCAAAGCCTTACCCAGGAAGTCCAAAGACCCCCTACTGTCTCAACGGTGAGCCCTGCCTGGCCTCCCTGGAGTCCTTCCATTGCTGACCAGGCCCGTGGAGAGGGGGTGGCAATGGGCAGCTGTGGGGCTGGCAGGCTCTTGAGTCAGCAGAGTGAATTTGGTGCTCTGGACATTTGGGGGTGATCCCGACTTACCCTCCGTGAGCCAGCCGACCACTTACCCCTGCTCAGCCTCACCCCAAACTTGTTCCCTGGGTAAATAGGCCTGGCCTCACCAACCTCTGCCCTCCTGCAGGATCTCCAACCTCACGGCATCCCTGCATGCACACAGCCGCAAAAAAGTGAAGAGGAAACGTCCCCGGCGGGTCCAGGACTCCACCAAGAAGCCCCCAAGTGCCACCCGCACCAGCAAGACCCAGCGACGCCGACTGACGGGCCGGACGCACCACAGTGGGGAGTGAGCCTCAAGGTCCAGGGCTGTCATAGCGCAGCTGTCCCTGTAACCCAGCTACACAAGGTGGTGACCCCATGGCCTGGGGCTGGGAAGCCAGGACATCTCTTGGTCCTAGACTGTTGCCCTCCATGCCCAGGGCCACCAGAAGAACCTGTAAAGTCAGCTTGGTTTCTCCCCTCATGAACCCCACCAGCAACACATCGCCTGTGCGCTTGTGTGGTTTGTGCATCCTTCCTTGGACACCACATCCCATGGGGAAGCTCTGGGTAGTGGAAGTGTCAGGGCTGAGGGTCCATCCTTCGTGTCTTCTTGAGAGGGGCCAGTGAGGTTATGTGGGAACCCAGAGTGTACCTGCTGCTCTGGAGAGCCCACAAGGCCTTGGCCTGGCCCTTCTGTCCCTGCCACCTCCCTGACTTCTCAGTGTCAGGAAGATAACAGGATTGGCTGAGCTGAGGCCCTGGATAGCACCCACCTCCTGCAGCACTGGCACCCCTGGCCACACCCCTTCCTGAACCTCCAGTGTTACTTAGGAACATGGGGCTGTCTGTTAATAAATCTCATGCACCCCTCCTGTGAGCCATTGGTTCTCCTAGCTCTTGGGGAAATTGAGTCACACTCATGTGGCCAGCCCATCCTGGGCTCAGGTAGTGGTGTCCAAACCCTTTGGAGACCCTGGCTGTTCTCCCAAGAGTACCTCTGCCCTGCACCTGGGAGCGTCCTTGCTAGAGGATTAAGGTTGGGCCTTTAGGAGCCTCACTAGGAAGGATGAGGTAGAGCTAACAACGGAACCAAGAAGACTAGGGAGCCCGTGGCTCACTGGAGAGCTGGGAGCAGGCCTTTAGCTCCCCCTTTGGGCCGTATTTGACACGTGGCTTCTGCCTCACAGGCCAAGATGGCTGCTTGAGCTACAACCATCAGATCAGGAGGAAGGGACAGAGAAGATCTTTGATATTTTATTATTTCATTTTCTTTGAGGTAATTTGCTGTATAGTTCTGGCTGGCCCTGAACTCCTGGCTATCCTCCTACCTTGTGATTGCTGGGATCACAGTTATGTATCACCACAAGCCAAAAGACTTGTAAAATCCCTCAGTGCCTGTCTGTGGGCCAAGCAAAAGCCAAAGGCAGAGGGCAAGGAGGGGATTCCTAGCTGCAAGAGAACCTGGCAGCTTCGTCAGGCATGGAGATGCACGTCTGTAATCCGAGCCCTCGGGAGGCTAAGGCAGGAGAATTACTACAAGTTTGAGACCAGCCTGGGCTGCAAAGTGAGCCCAAGGCCAGCCTGAACTGCATAGAGAGACCCTGTCTCAGAAAAAGAGAACCTGGCAGTTCCAGGCTGTACTGGAAAATGTTCCTAGATGGAAATTGAGGATTGTGTTGCTAGCAGCCATTTGGGGTTCTTGCAAGGGGAATAAAATAATAAAGGACACAGTTTATAATATTAGTTCATAAGGAATCACCCAAGAATCATATACAAGTGCAGGAAATCTGTCCACACACAAACTAAAGACTCCAGCTGAGGGCCTGGATCCTAATATCCTGCATCTAACTGAAAACCTGGAGCTCATATCAATGCCTCCCACAAGTCCAGCTGGAGGCCTAGAGCCCATGACAAAGTCTCATGCAGGTCCGCTTCATGGACGTGTGCTGGAAAGGCCCAAAGGTCAGTGGTGGAAGCTGGGAAGTCTATGCCAGTGGGATAAAGGATCTGTACTAGCAGGCTGAGGGATCTGACCTGGAGCCAGGAAGCCATGCTCAGGTAAGCACCAGAGCTCCCCCAAAGGGACCACAGCCACCCTCAGCAACAGCAAGATCCTGAGCTCCTCCAACAATGAGGAAAGCTGAGTTCCCATCAGGAAAGCCAGTGCACCAAGCTTCTTCCTGAGGCTGGGCAGTGCACCAGCTTCCCCTCCAGGGACAGGAAGTGGTGCTCAACATGAGGACCAGAGCTCCTCCAGAGTTCATTGGGAAAGCCAGCATGACAAGGTCCTCCAGCAGAACAGCATAAGAGAACTAACAGCTTCTAACAGCTTCTCCAAACGACGTTCCTAACAGGTCCTGGCAGCTTCTCCAGCCTTCTGCACCCAGCACTACGTTAATTTAATTCAGCCGAATGTAAGAAGTTGACCACCAGTTAGCGATCCATCACATTATGGGAAGAAAGAATATTGGTTCAAGCAGTTCTCTGCATGGCCAAATACATAAGGGTATCCAGTGGTGAGCTAAAGGGACCAGGGACCTGGGTCTTGACAGGTTGGCACTGGTGGGACTGCAGAAGCCAGGCTGAGCAAAGAGCATTCTCCCCTTCCTATTGGTAGCCAGGGCAGGGTCTGGAGAACTCTGGGTTCCTGTTGGGAACTGTGTGTCACCCTCCCCAGTACCCCAGGGTCCTCCGAGGGCTCAGTGCCTTAACTGATCAGCCAACCATCAACCTGGCTTTAGGGCAGGCCATCTGGTGAGGCTTCTGGTTCGGTTCATCCTCAGTGTGGAAGGGCTGGGGATGTGGCTGAGTGGTACAGCACTTGCCTCGCGTCCTCTGTGGAGAGGTCCCCCCGCCTCCACACACACCCAAGGGATTGGAATCAGGGCCTTCAAATTGATTTTTTTGTTTGTGTGTTTTTTCAGAACCAGGGATTGAATTCAGGCCCTTGCGTTTGCCAGGGAAGCGCTTATTCCACTGAGCTATCTCCCCGGCCCAAGGCCTTCAAATTGAGTTACATCCCTAGCATTTTTTATTTTAAATTTTGATTGTATTTTTTTATGTGTGTGTGGGTGGGTGGGTGGATGGCCAGCCAGCTTAGTCCACCAGGGGGCAGGGCTGGCTGGCATGTGGTGCTGGGGGATTGAACCGCGGTCCCTGTGCTTTGCTAAGCTTGTTCTAAGTAGGTGCTTTAGACCACTGAGCCATCTCACCAGCCCTTATTTTAAATTTTGGAACAAGGTCTCACTAAGTGGCTGAGTTGCACAGGCTGGACTCGAACCTGTGATCCTGCCTCAGCCTCTGAGAGTGCTGGGGTTACAGGTGTGCACCACCACCCCTGGATTCACCACCTGTGTTGTGAGAATGCTGGTTGAAGCAGCCCCCTCTGCCCACCTCAGCCCTCCAGGTGGCTGTCAGGTGGGTCTTGGCCGCCTCATGCCACTGTTTTAAAGCACCTCCGAGCAGCCTTCCGGGATCCCACTGTGCACCTGACCAAAATGCAGCATTTCTCCCTCTGGGCTCCTACCGTGCTGTGGCCTGGAGGGACTGTTGTCAGCTGGACAGGAGTTTTGAGAGGTTGAACCTTAGCCATTTTCATGTTATGCTGCTGTCACGGGCCACTGTCACCTCAGCTTCACCAGTGTTGGCTCCTGACGGGACCCATCCTTCTGTCACATGCTCCCAAACAACCCTCGAAATAATCTAGGATTTTCTTGGCCCTGGTGCCCAAGCCTGCTGTCTGCAGGTGTCCGAATCTGCGTTCTTCCACTATCTTGGCCGCCTTCCTTGCGCTTCCTTTACAGCCATCTTCCCTGTCCAGGGGGTGTCGCCGTTCACCTTTCCTTTTGTCCCAGTTACCACAGTTGGCAAATACCAGTGAAAAAAGAAAAAAAAGCGGATGCAGGGGGGTGGGGGTGGGAAGGGAGATAGCTTAGTAGAATAAGCGCTTGCCTGGCAAGTACAAGGGCCTGAGTTCAATCCCTGGTTCTGCAAAAAAAAAAAAAAAAAAAAAAAAAGGATTGGGCCCACGGTGCTCATGGTTCTCTCAGATATTCAGGAGGAGGCTGAGTTGGACACCTGGTTTCAAAATAAAGTTTAACCAGGATGTGGTGGTGCATGCCTGTAATGCCAGGACTCTGGAGGCTGAAGCAGGAGGATCTCTGTGAGTTCGAGACCAGCCTGGGCTACATAGTGAACTGAAGTCCAGCCTGTGCTATACAGTGAAACCCTGTTTTAAAGGGGGAGGGGGCAGGGAGATGGCTCAGTGGAGTAAGTGCTTCCCTGGCAAGCGCAAGGGTCTGAGTTCAATCCCCGGTTCCGCCAAAAAATAAAAAGGTGAAGGGGACTAAGTGAGGTGTGACACACACCTGTAATCCCATCATTTTGGACACTGAGGCAGAAAGATCACTATGAGTTAAAGGGGAGCCTGACCTGCATACCAAGACCCTGTCTCAAAAAACAAAACATAGGTTGTAGCACACAATTACTTGCTCACAAAAGCACTCTATTGTGTTCATCAGTTCCATTTTTTTAAAATTTATTTGATTATTGTGTGTGTATGTGTGTGTGTGTGTGTGTGTGTGTGTGTGGCCAGCTCAGCCCACCAGGGGGCAGGGCTGGCTGGCATGTGGTGCTGGGGGATTGAACCGCGGTCCCTGTGCTTTGCTAACCTTGTTCTAAGTAGGTGCTTTAGACCACTGAGCCATCTCACCAGCCCCGCATCAGTTCCATTTAACGGAGAAGGAATCTCAGGAAGTCATGTGGTGGCTTACAAGGCATGGTTCCCACTTCTTATGTAGCAGAAAGAAACGAGTTCACTGAGGACCAAGCATTCAGTGAGGGGGCAGCAGGCCAACATCTAGCAGTGGCCCAGAGCAGGGATTGGGACATCCTAACAGGCTTCCTACAGGGGGAGACCCTGGACCTCAGCCTTGAAAAGTGATGCCAGGCCCAAGGATGGGGGAAGGGGGAGTCGATCCAGAGAGGAGGAAGTGCAGCGAGCTAGGACTGGCCTCACCCTGGGGCAGGAGGTGGTGCAGCAGGGGAGAGTAAGGCTCAGCGACTCATATTAGGAGCTTTTGGGGAGATGCTCAGCAGCCTAAGTGCCTGCCTGGCAAGCCCAAGTCCTGAGTTCAAACCCCAATACCTCTTCTCCACAAAAAAAAGAATGTTTATTTTAGGAGATTCTCCATGTGGCAGTGTGAAGGGAACACTAGGGGGCTGGAGATGCCCCAAGCTGGCTGTGACCGAGTGGTCCACAAGCTGAAAGGCCCCCTTGGGAGATCCAGGCCTGCACAGGACCTCCGCAGGTCCCCGGAGGGCTTCCTGGAGGTGGCAGCAGTTGAATCATTGTAAGGGAAAGAAGATTGACCTGTAGCTTATCTTTTCAGAGACCCGCATAGAACAAAAGACCTGGAGATTGGTTTGGTTTTAGTTGGTGTCACAAAACAATTTGACTTAACAGCAATATTTAAATTAAAAAATTTTTAAAAATATTTATTTGGTACAGGGTCTCACTATGTAACTCAGACTCTAGTGATCCTCCTGTCTCAGCGTCCCCTCCTCTGGGATTACAGGTGTGCATCACCACGCCCAGTCACCATGCCTGGTTTCAGTGGTCAGCCTGAAGCACCCAGGTTTGGGGATCGAACCTGGGTCCTTGCACTTGCTAGGCGAGCACTTAAACCACTGATGTATCTCTCCAGCCCCATTATTTAAACTTTTTGAGACTGCATAAAAACATTCAATCGTTAGGCATGGTGATAAAAACCTGTAACCCCAGCACTGGGGAGACTGAGGCAGAAGGATCATTGAGAATTGGAGACCAGCCTGCAGTATATAGTGAGGTTGAGAACAGCCTGGACTACATAGTGAGACCCTATCTGAAAAACAAAACAACAAAGATTTTTGGTCACACTGGACTGTCACTTCTCAGGGTAGCCATGGGCCTGCAGTCAGGTAGGCCCTGCGAGATGCCCACCATCCTGCCCCTGCACCGTGGGCCTGCAGACCCCAGACCTCTAACCTCTCCCTTGCCTGCCCAGGGTCAGCCCTCTTGACTTCTCCCCCAAGCTGTGAGCCAGATGGGCTGGGGTGCCTGGGAGGCAGCAGGGTGCAGCTGGGCCAGGACTGTCAGGAGTCACTCAGCTCTCCTAGATCACTGAGAAG